TTTTTTTTGTTATTTTTTGGCCCATTTTGAGAATTTTGAAAATTCAAATAACCACCGGCCGGTAATACGAACCGACTGTGATAAACTATTATCGCCGCCGGTTGCAAACCGCCTGTGATGTGAATGTCATCACCACCGACAGCTTACTGTCGAGACCGAAAAACGCTAGTGATGGACTTTACAAACCACTTATGATAGGTCTAAATGTAGTAGTGGTGGCTCGCCTCAATCCTAGCCGTGGCTATCCATAGATACGCTAGGACACGGGTCCCTCCATCATTTTGCCCACGAGGCCCTCTTTGACTGAATCAGTCAATCCTCCATATGGACAGACCGATTAGGAAGAACAAGGATGGAAAAGATCAGAGAAAAGAACATACTCTCTCCGTCCTATAATAAATGCACTTCTAGAGTTTAACTTTTTTTCTAAAATAAGAGGACATCTACATATGAGACAAACCAACTTTAGGTGTCTTTTTTCTACTTTCTCTTTTCCCTAAGCGCAATAATTACACCTTTATAGAGGTATATATGTAATTTCTCACTAGCATTGATATCTTCATCATAATTCTAGAAATGCACTTATTTTGGGATGGAGGAAGTAGGTCCAACGGCGAAAGTGCTAGAAAGAAAGAAAAAGAAAGGACTTTGATAATTTAGAAATAGTTCATGTTCCCAATGCATAAGTGTCTATTAGCTTTTTATTCTTTTCTAGAAACAACCAAATCAACTAATACTTGTAAAATGCTTAATAAATCACAGAAATATCCAAAAATAGTAAAACAAACTTTGTTGGACTTGTTATGCCTGGATCTATACATTAGAAGTGAAACATCACACATTTAATGCTTTTCTGCAAGCACCCATCATTGAGTTGTACCAATTAGAAGGTACTTAGGCCCTGTTCGGATTTATAGGGCTAAACTTTAATCCAGGGCTAATCTTTAGCCCTTAGAATGAAGGGGCTAAAGATTGGTCCATGGGACTGTTTGGATCCAGGGGCTAAAGATTATCCATGTACCCTATTATAACCTATTTACCCCTGATTAATACACATGCACAGCCATGCATAGGGATGGATGGGGTAATATGCGTCTTTTGCCCCACATGACCACTTTTAGCCCTCTTTAGCCCACCTTGTAGGGGCTAATGGGAAAGGGGTGGGGTAAAGTTTAGCCACCACTTTTAGCCCCATGGATTCAAACAGAGCCCTAAATGAGCGAAGGTGGAAATGCAAATGAATAAATGATGATATGGTCTACCATCAATGTATGTTTTGTGATGGTCCAAAAGGAAAAAAACCCTCACCTTGACCACAAACCTTGGTAGTCTAGTATGTGTATGTGTGTCATCTATTTTTATTTGCTTCTTTCAAGCACTTCGCGTTGAAGTTTGGGCTCGTGGAGTGATCAAATGATTACAATAAGTGTGATACATATGGATGTTGCTTTTACTTGATATCCAAAGAAATATTTGTTACCGACATTATCCGCACCTAACTTGCTTCGTATTCGACACACATGTATTCGTATTCACAATTGAGACAACCCATGTTTGTATCCATATTTGAAAGTATCCATGTCCAACTTCAAAATCAATAGGAAAATATGAAAACAAATATGATATCAGTGATATCTGTCTATATTTGATCTAGTTATACCCCTACTTTCGACTATTCTCTTCTTACAACAAATCTATAGAAAATTGATTGAAAACCCTAGTTTGGTTTTGGTAATCGAGTGACAACTAGTGAACTAATGCTTTCAATGTGTTTAATTAAGGTCGTAGGGTCCACATGAGGAAGTTGAGTAAGGATAGGAGATGGTGGAGATGATGATCATAACTATGAAGAAAGTGCTCAACATGGAGATGATATGGAAAGCAAGCCCGAAGGCAGAGGTATATGCATAGGGGCTTTGCTTTTGCCAACCAAGGTGCAATAGAGTGCACAGTCGGATTTAGGATAGATATTCATACTATAAAAAGGGGAGATCTATGTGATTATGATTGTCTAAGTGCCATTAGGTGAGGATTAACAATGCATATGCATTAGGCCTGGTGAAGTGGTGAGAAGGTGAAAATGCTTTGAAAAATGTTTTTAAAAAGCTAACTCATTGACTAAGTTGATGGTGTTCTTGTTGGAACACATTTGGAGTTAGTTGATTTGAAATGCATTTGAGAGATGCTCTTGGGACAAGGTTTTTACCCTCACCGGAAATATCTGGTGCCCTATTTACAGGGGGTCACCGAAGAATAAGTTATGTTGCTTGCGCTAAGTTTTTCACTGTGCTAGGGGCACCGGATTTCCGATGGTCGGTCTGGTCACAACATCGGAGAAAGAAGCTTCTGTGCCCTGTAGCTATGGTTTGCTACCGTATTTATCTAGTGGCCCCAGCTACAGAGCACTAGAGAATGCGGTCCTCAGTTGTACGCATGGCGTGTTCCTGTGTAGTGAAAAATCAAATTGCATAACACTTTCTCTAGTGGGTGGTCACCGTTCGATGACCCCCTGGAGCTCTCGAATAGTGACCAGTAAGGTTTTGATCATCACCGAAATTCAAATCCACAAAAAAGACCGTCACTTCTGGTGCCACCGAAGAGGTGAGCACCGGAGCTTAGTTCTAAGAGGTCTTGGCATGAGGGAAATTCAAAAGGGGCATCCGGATGGTCTGTGACCCACTGAAGATCTCTAGTGATGCCATTTTCAGTAATGTAAAAATCCAATAGCTAGTTGAGTATGTGGGGCTATAAATAGAGGGTATAGATGGGCATGATAATTCTCTAGGGTCATGTTGCTGATATTCACCACACTAGAGCTCAAGTTAAGCCTCCACTCACATTTGCTTTGCTAGTGATTGCATTTTTAAGTGAGATTGGAGTGATCTTAGTGCATTTGGTTGAGAAATTTCATTTAGTGGCACTAGATAGAGATCAAGTTTGCTTGTTGGTTGCCGCTACCTAGATGATTCGGTGCATCTAGACTCCACTAGAGCACTCAATTGAAGATATTGTGAGGTGTCTTGGAGGTGATGATTTGTGAGAAGCTCTTGTGCTCATTCTCACAGGAGTAGGCAAAGAGCAACTTTTAGTGGAATAGAGGTGTTGGAAGAGTGCCTTGTGATCGACTTGGCTTAAAGATCAAACTCTCAAGTAGAGTAGGCAACCTTGCATGGCAGAGTATTGATAGAGAAGCGTTGATCTTAGGACTCACCTCAACATGTACATAGTTAACCAGTAAGTTAGCAAACCACGAGAATATATCTTTATGTTTTCACTTGTGTGGTATCACTTGTTCACTCTACTCTTGCTTTGGTTTGTGTTGTTCATTTCATAGAGTAGAGATATTAGAGCAAGTATAACAACATGTTATAAGCATTCTGAATGCTGACGTGGAGAGAGAGGAGAGGATAAAGAGGGAAAGCGGTTTGTAAGCTTATAGCTGGCTTAGACACAAGAACCAAGAAACTCTGTGAGAGAGACAGGTGCGCCATGTATTAATGCTGAGAGCTAACTACTGTATAGAACCGAGAAGTTCATTTGATTATGCTTGCACATTATAGGTAATCATGGAGAGGTTTTGTAAATGGAAAGCTCCAGACACAGACACCGCCAACAATAATAGAAATTCATGTCTAGATGATCTCAATTGGGAAGAGGAGATTAAATATGATCCAGGCTTGAGAAAACAAATTGATGCTTACCATCCTAACCATAGAGAAAAGGTCAGAAGAAAATATTTGGAAAATGGACCTTGCCAGCCTCGCACATGTAATTTTCCTGTTTCAGATATTGGAGACAAGCCAAGAAGATTTATCTCGGAATGGTTTGATGAGTTTGGAAGTTGGCTTGAATATAGTGAGTCAAAGGACAGAGCATATTGCTTTTGTTGTTTCTTATTCAGAGAAAAGAAGGATGTAGGATATGAATCATTTATAGTTAATGGTTGGAATGGTTATCATAGGAAAGGAAGGCTAAAGTCACATGTTGGTGATGTTGGTGGCTTACACTATAATGCAATGAAGAAGTGTGATGATTTGTTACAAAGAAGGCAACACATAGATGTTGCTTACAATCAGATAAGTGAGACTGCAAAGAAGGCTTATTTTACTCGGTTGAATGGATCCATTGATACTGCTAGGCTATTGTTGAAGCAAGGATTGCCTTTTCGTGGTCATGATGAGTCACTAGAATCCAACAATAAAGGGAACTTCAAGGAGTTTTATGATTGCTTAGCACAACATGATCTAGAGTTACGCAAAGCGGTGAGTACAAATGCTGCAGCTAATAGTTGTTTGCTAGCTCCTGAAATTCAAAGGGACATTGTTGAATGTTTTGCAAATGAGATTGTACACTCTATCCTTGAAGAACTAGGCAACGATGTGTTTTGCTTGCTAGTTGATGAGTCAAGAGATGTTTCTTGCAAAGAACAAATGGTTGTGGTCTTGAGGTATGTTGACAAATGTGGGATCATGAAAGAGAGGTTTGTTGGCGTTGTGCATGTGACTGAAACGACTTCTTACCATCTGAAGTCATCTATTGATTCTTTACTTGCAAAGTTTAAACTAAGCTTAAAGCAAGTTCGAGGCCAAGGATATGATGGTGCTAGCAATATGCGATGTGAGTTCAATGGCTTACAATCATTGATCATGAGAGAAAGTAGGACAGCTTATTATGTGCATTGCTTTGCTCACCAACTTCAATTAGTCATTGTGGCAGTCATGAGAAAACATAAGGGCGTAAGCAATTTCTTAAGCATGATTTCTATCTTATTAAATGTGGTGGGTGGATCAGCTAAGAGACGGGATATGATTAGAGATATTAATCATGAACAAGTGACAAAGGCATTAGGTTGTGGGCAACTTGAGACTGGGACAGGGTTAAATCAAGAGCAATGCCTTCAAAGACCTAGAGATACTCGTTGGAGTTCTCATTACAAAACTTTCAAAAGTTTAGTCAACATGTTTCCTACAATAGTTGAAGTGCTAAAAGTTGTTGAAAAGGATGACAGAGATTGGAAAAATAGAGATCAAGCATCAAATCTTCTAGTATACTTCAAATCATTTGACTTTGCCTTTTATTTGCATCTCATGCTGACTACATTAACTGCCACAAATGCCTTGTCATTAGCATTGCAACGCAAGGATCAAGACATTGTAAATGCCATTGGATGTGTGAAATCAACTAGACTCCATTTGAATAATCTTAGAAGAGATGGGTGGGACAAATTATTAGATGAAGTGAATGAGTTTTGTGACATGCATGAAATTGACCGAGTGGAAATGGAAGATGCCTATGTTGATCCCCGACAACCTAGAAAAAAATTAGGAATTACGTACAAGCATCACTATGAAGTGGATTGCTTTAATGATGTTATTGATTGGCTAGTTCAAGAGCTTGATAGCCGCTTTAGTGAGACAAGCTCTCAATTGCTTGTTTGCTCGGCCGCTTTTGACCCAAGGGATCGATTTCATGCTTTTGATATGGAGACTTTGATGAGCTTAGCAAAACTATATCCTGATGAATTTAGTACTAATGATTTGAGAGACCTTAGTCATTACCTTTGCCTTTACATTGCCGATGTGCGAGAAGATGCTAGATTCTCCAACATCAACACTATTGGTGAGCTCTCTCAAAAAATGGTTGAGACAGGGAAACATCGTTGTTATCCATTGGTCTATCGACTTTTGAAGCTTGTACTAGTACTGCCTGTCGCTACTGCAACAGTTGAGAGATGCTTTTCTGGAATGAAGATTGTCAAAACAAGCTTGTCTAATCGCATGGGTGATCAGCACTTGAGTCATAGACTTATTTGCTATCTAGAGAAAGAAGAAATGAAGAAAGTTAGCAACGAGGCTGTGGTTCATCGTTTCATGACTATAGAAGGAAAATAGCGTAAATATGATCTCTGATAGGTAATGCAATGTATCTACTTTAATCGATAGTTCTACAATTTATTTGCTAAATAATTGACCTATTTGTTTTCTTTCCTTTTAGGCTAGTGGGATCTTCATCATGGTCTTCTGGATCACATATTTTGCCTATATGGGGCTTGTTTTGTTCATGATTTTGGCATTCTATCAATGAATACACTTCGTTTTGTTAAACGGTGAGTGTTATGTTTCGACCAAATTCTCATCTCTATTGCTAGAAGTCGAATTTGATATTAAAATCTGGTAGCTGTACATTAGTTATGCTATTTTTGATTGAACATCATATCGGTCAGTGTAGTTATGAATTAAGGGGTGCACCCCCATCATTTTGCTCTACTTCGCCGCTGGCTGTAAGGATTCTTGCAGCCAGTAGCTGACTATATTATTAGTCTTGCTCTTAGGACTTGACATCCTAGGAAGTCAACCTAGGCACCTAGCTAGTTCTTTCATCTTTAATGACATAGCTTAGTTGATATTGGTTATGTTCGCTTATGCTGAAATTTAGCTTAGGTTGATGCTTATGTTCAAATGTTGTGAGAGAAAAACACTGTTTCATGGCTAAAAGATAGCTCAAGCGAACAAGGTCATTCTCTATACAAGAATCGTATAGGTTGTTGATCACCTTAGGTTTGTAAAACAATAGCTAAAGGTAAAATTATTAGGGGCTTCTTTGTTTCTAACCTCGTGCCTAGTCTGTGTGCTAGCTAAATTAGACTATTTATCCTGCTATTCAAAGATCTTTTTACTCTTCTGTGCTCTCCTTTAAGCTTTTCCTGTTATGCCATACACCTAAAATTAATTCTAATTTTTTCTAACAAAAATATGATAACTTGGCCATTTCAAATAGCCCCGTATATGTATAGAAAAACAGGTCCGTCCACAAGAGTAGAGGCGTGGGGTTGGCAATTGGCATCAGCGTCACCACCCTTGCGTCTTTGCGTCGATCGCTTTCCTCTGTAGCTGTTTAGGGTGTCTCCAACCAAAGATTAGTCGTGAAACCTAAACTCAAAATAGATCTATAACATAATACCTATAGTCTTCGATAGAGTATTTATATAAAAGATCTATTTTGAATACTAAGAGAGACATAACTCAAATATGAGTATCACCTATTTATAAAAATGATTGTCTTTTGGATTTTGTTGTTGAATAAGATTAAAAAATAGTTATTAAACCATTTACTTGTAACACCGACCAAAGACGAATGGATCTAAATGTATTTTAGGTCGGATCTAAAAGCCTGTTCGCATGTCTGAATTTTAGAGGAATCTAAATGGTTTGAAGGAATGCTGGAAAAATTTGTGAGAGAAAAATATAATTCCAAATAAAAAAAAATAAATGGATCAAATCAGGTTTAAGAGTACGCGAACATGGGCTAAATGTATTTTAGGTCACGGTCGCCGGAGACATTACTCATCACCGATTCCATCCCCTCACCTTGCCGCCTAGCTAGCGGCTACTCTGCTGCCACCACCCACCTCGTCCTCTCTTCATCATCTCCCTTTCTCTTTCTCCGCCACTGCTTGCTTGCTCTACCCACCTCATAAATTCCCCACTCCTTCCTCCGTTTCTATCCCCCATTCTACTCCCCAGGCCGCAGCCGCTGGCAGCCGCATATGCTGTTGTTGGTGCTTTGCTACTCCTTTGTCAATCTCTGCTGCCGTAAGTTACATGGCTGATTGGCTGACACTCTCTTTTTTTTTTCTCCCTTATTCGTCTTTTATGCGATTCTTGAACTTCGAGTACAGAGCTGTCAGGACTAGAGAAATTGGGATGTTCCATGCCAGGGTTTCCTTCTTCTTCTTTTTTACATTCCAAGCTCATGCCGTTGAACATTTACTTCTTCCTCTTTTGGTAGTGATTGTTCGACATTTCTGGCTTGTATGCAGCTGTGCAAAGATCTTACACAACAGTGAACTACAGTGCCTTTTTTCGTTTGTCCAAATCTTGGCAGAACTATATGCAAAAAAATGCTTTTACTGTTGTAGGTGTAGCAATGATCATCCTTTTGCTTTTGTGTAGCATTAATGCTCATGACTTACACCATTCTCTTGGAGTTCATATAGTTCAGAGCTACGAGAATTATGCTTATTAAGATGTCGACTAAGTATGTTGCATAACAGAAAGCTTCCTGTGTTCAATATGCATATGCTCTACAATTTCCTGTCTCAATAACTGGTTTTGCATAAATTCTCTCAGTGACTAGGTAGGCATACCCCCGCATATGTATGTTAATTTTATTTCTGAAGGACTTTGTCCGGTCATTGTTGACTAGCTAGGCATTTTGTTTTATTTTAGGTTGGCATTAGACGGACTCCAGTCAACTCCATCCAATTTGATAGGTTGGCATTAGACGGATTCCAGTCAACTCCATCCAATTTGATGGTTAAACTATCAAAGATAGTGTTCTGATATCTAACCAAAACAAGTGCCGGTGATGTGAATGGCTGCTCAAGTTCCTCAGATTCTTTAAATTCTGAGTTCATCCTCAACTCGGGGCTCTTGGTTCATGCCCTTGGACGATTCATTATACAGTGGAGGATTTTTTATGGCTCATGTTGCCTCGTGATATTGTGGTCTGACCAAAGCTGCTTTTACATCTGATTCATGGGCTGTTCAGCTTCCAAGTGTTGTTCACAACTGAAGTGCTCTTTGTGCTCAAATGGGTGCCTGGGGCAAGCACCTGACTCCCCGAGAGAATCAAGGGGAAAGTCCAGTCTCGGGAGAGGGAAGGCAGATTCTACCAATTCAGATGATTCTTCTGATGACCTCGGGGAAGATGACGATGCTTTTAACCATATGAATGCTACAAGGGAATCAACTGTTGGCATCAGCCGACTGTCGAGGGTCTCTTCACAGTTTCTTCCTCCTGATGGATCACGCAAGATTCAGGTCCCTTTGGGTAACTATGACATGAGATACTCCTTCCTGTCTCAAAGAGGTTACTATCCAGAATCACTGGACAAGGCAAATCAAGATAGCTACTGCATACATACCCCATTTGGACCAAGTCCTGATGACCACTTCTTTGGTGTGTTTGATGGCCATGGGGAATATGGAGCTCAGTGCTCACAATTTGTGAAGCGAAGATTATGCGAGAACCTGCTCAGAGATAACCGGTTTCGTACAGATGCTGTGCTGGCTCTTCATTCTGCTTTTGTTGCAACGAACTCACAGCTGCATGCCGACAACTTGGATGACTTCATGAGTGGTACTACTGCAGTCACTATATTGGTCAGGGGTAAAACTATGTATGTTGCGAATACCGGTGATTCACGTGCTGTTATTGCCGAAATACGAGGGGATGATATTGTCGCTGTTGACCTCTCCATAGATCAAACCCCATACCGATTTGATGAGTTTGAAAGGGTCAAGGAATGTGGTGCTAGGGTTCTAACGTTGGACCAAATAGAGGGCCTAAAGAACCCAGATGTGCAGTGTTGGGGTACTGAAGAAAGTGATGATGGCGATCCTCCAAGGTTATGGGTGCAAAATGGCATGTACCCAGGAACTGCTTTTACACGTAGCATTGGAGATTCTGTTGCTGAGTCAATTGGTGTCATCGCAGATCCTGAGATTTTTGTCCTGGATCTCAATTCCAACAATCCATTTTTTGTTCTTGCTAGCGATGGCGTTTTTGAGTTCCTTTCCAGTCAAACAGTTGTCGACATGGTAAGTTATATCCGTCACCTTAACAATATCATCATTTGCATGATTCACAATTTGGGTGAATAGACACACTCTATATCCCAAGTGATTTGCTGCAGTCACAGAGCATAAAAGTTACATTAGATATGAAATTTTTCCTATTCAATTAGAATAGTTTCTAGCATGAAGTTACCACTCAGCATCAAGGAAATGTCTCGATGGCAACTCAGAGAAAATTAACTATACTCCCAGTGATATGAGCGCTCCCCCCCCCAAAAAAAAAAACAATAAAATAAAATAAATAATATGTCTGTTTTGTTTTTCTATGGAATTGTCTGTATCCCACATTTTAGGAGTCTCTGTAAAGTATATTGTTATTGGTTTAAAGTAAAGAATTAAATCTTTTCACCCTAAAGAAATCAATATGAAGTGTTAAATTACATAAGGACTAAAGTAAATTTACAGATTAATGGGTTAACTCAAGGATTCAATTCTAATGAGTGTTAAGTCAGTATTTTAATGTGAGTTTTCTACTCTAATATGGTGAATTGCAGATTTCTAAATACAAGGATCCTCGAGATGCATGTGCAGAAATTGTTGCGGAGTCCTATCGTCTTTGGCTACAGTATGAAACTCGTACAGATGACATTACAATCATAGTTGTGCATATTAATGGGTTAACTGATGTATGGAATTATTTTTTTTCTTTTGCATTGTTTCCATATCAATTGTTTCATCAAATTCCCTGAAGAAACCTCACATGTCTACTCTCACTGTCTTACTTGAAGGAATTTACCCAGACTGTTACGAAGGTGACTTTACAACCTTCACAGCAAGTAGTAGGACTGGCAGGCTCTGAATCACCACTAATAGTAAGTTCCAACACCAATAATCAGCGCTCAAGGCATGATTTATCACGGGCACGATTGAGGGCGCTTGAAAGTTCTCTGGAGAATGGTCAATTATGGGTCCCTCCATCTCCATCGCATCGGAAGACATGGGAAGAGCAAGTAAGGTCTACCAATTTTGTCACCATTGAACTTTCCCTTTACTTCAGAAGTTTCTTGATGTCTTATAACTGAAAAACCTGATATGAAGGCGCATATTGAGCGGGTACTACATGATCATTTCCTATTTAGGAAGCTTACTGACTCACAATGTCATGTTCTACTTGATTGTATGCAACGAGTTGAGGTGAAATCTGGGGATATAGTAGTACAACAGGTTATCTTCTTTCTATGTTTGTGAGCTCAAATGTGATTGCTTTTTTAGGTTGCTTATAAGTTAATAAGTTTTAAATATAGGATATTGTGTGATGCAGGGCGGCGAAGGTGACTGCTTCTATGTAGTTGGTAGTGGTGAGTATGAAGTTCTGGCTATTCAGGTATATATTTCAAATCAAATATATGCCACATGTAAATTTGATTTCGGATTGAGTTTTCATGCTATTAAAATCAAGCTGTTAGGAATTAGAGACCAATAGGATGAACCACGAGTTCTTGTGCAGAAGGATCTTATCTAAGATAAGCAGCACTAAAAGAGGAGCACCTTTATGGTTGAAATGGATTTAGTAACTTTCTCATGTATCCATCGATTCAAAGAGTCATGTAGTATTGAGGTTATATAAAGTTGTTTGTCTATAGTTGATGTGCAAAACACACACAAAAGGAAAGCACCAGAGCTTTGGTCACTGCCTTACATTGAATGCATTTCGAACTTATTCTGATCATGTGTTTTAACAAAGACAAGTAGCTCATAAAATCCATCTTTTTGCTGATCTTTATTGCGCAAATGTCAAAGACTAAGCTGATTTACATGGAACAGGAAGAAAATGGAAAGGAAATAACCACGGTTCTGCATCGGTATACAGCTGACAAGTTATCTTCCTTTGGGGAGCTAGCACTGATGTGAGATTTGTATTTGTTACGCTTGTTCATTACTGTTTATTTTTTTTAAAAAAAAATACACAGTACAAATCAGGCATTTGCATTATTTCCTTGTATAACCTTATGAGGGGACCAGCCCTGCTTTCTGCATTCACCATACTAAAAATGAAGACATAGATATTCCACAAAAAAAAAAAAAATCAACCCCTGGGGATAAGACCTTCCCTGAGGCATTGATGGAAAGGTAGAAGTTCCTCATCCGCAGGGTCGAGAAAAGGTTATGAACCCCGGCTATCCAGGACATGCCTCTAATGGCAAGGATGCGCCCACAGCCACATATCATGCTGCAACCGTCAGTGGACCGTGCATTTCACTGAAATAGCACGGTGAGTGGCCATTCTTTTGGTGAGTACGGGTAGTTAAACTCCTGATACCTTGCACTCATGCTTCGCTACCGCTGCGGTATGTGCAAGTTCTTAGAAAGAGAAATTCATAAACTGACCACTCAAATTCTTTTGAAGAGGCCACTAGCATTTGTAGAAATTTGGGAAATAATTATGTGTCTTCCTCTGGAGTTCACAACATTAACTTATAGTGTCTAAATATTGCAAGGTACCATCATAAGAACTCTTATTTGACTCTGATACTATTGACCAACATCTAACTCATGTAAATTAGTAAAGAGAGCATAATATTGTTTGTCTAGATTCTGAGTTCTGAAACCTATCATGCCATGACTTGATATAATGGAATAAATTGATTTAAGTTGAGATGGATAAACATGCCACTCACTGTTTGATTCATTTAATCATCATTTACTCTTGTGATAACAGGCACAATAAGCCACTTCAGGCTTCAGTTCGTGCTGTGACCAGTGGAACATTATGGGCTCTAAAGCGGGAGGACTTCCGGGGTATTTTGATGTCAGAATTTTCAAACATACCATCATTGAAGTTGCTCCGATCTGTAGAACTGTTTACAAGATTTACAGTGCTTCAACTAAGTCAACTTGCTGGGTCGCTTGTTGAAGTATCTTTTGCAGATGGGCAAAAAATAGTAGATAAGGTACTTGGAGTTGGAAAACAGTTGCTTGATATCTCCTTTTCATATGCACTTCTTTTTTGGTTATCAGCCTGCTAATAACATGTTTTCATTCATCTCTACCATTTTTCAGAATGATGACGTCTCTTCGCTATATGTCATTCAAAGAGGTCGTGTGAGACTTATATTGGCTACTGGTCAAATGACTTCAGATACCTGGGATCTCATCAGTGCTCAAACAAAGCAGGCACAAAGTAGTCAGGAAAATGGTAATTATGTGGTTGAGATAGATGAGGGAGGGCACTTCGGAGAGTGGTCTCTCATTGGTGAGACTATTGCTTTTACTGCTATTGCTGTTGGTGATGTTACTTGTTCTACTATCACGAAGGAGAAATTTGATTCAATTGTTGGGCCTTTGCCTAAACTTCCACAAGCTGATTCCAAGTAATGTGTCTGAAACATCTTTTTTTGTGTTGGTAACCACCAGATGCTTGTCAATCATCAAACTTATCTTGGTTGGCTTATTTTCAGGATTAAAGAATCTCTGGTAACCGAGGAGAATCTTGCAGATGGTGATTTTCCTTTTAGGAGGGTGACGCTCTCTGATTTGGTAGGGGGTTAGTACCCCTTTCTTCTCCTCTAGCATGCTTTAGGAGATCTTGTTGGGGTTCTTTTATACTGATACTCAGTTGTATATATGTTCCTCAGGAATGGAAAATGTGCATATATGCTGCTGATTGCAGTGAGATTGGTCTCGTCCAAGTTAGGGGCTCTGGTATGTTAATGGATTCTGCGTGATTATATTGATTTTTGTTCAGATAATTAATTTCCCTCGTAGACACACCTATGTTTTAATTAATCATGTTTTGATTTTGTTTCCTGTTTTAACCATGGACCAGACAAGATCAGAAGTTTAAAAAGGTTTTACATCAAGAGAGTACAAGATCTCCATAAGGAAGTACAAGTTTTTGAGGAAAAGGACCTTATGAAAAGCTTGAGCAAATCAACTTGTGTGCCAGAAGTTCTGTCTACTTGTGCTGATCAGTCATACCTTGCAATATTGCTGAATTGTTGCCTTTGTTGCTCACTGGCTTCAATACTTCATACACCACTAAATGAGTCATCTGCAAAATTCTTTGCAGCCTCAGTTGTTGCTGCTCTAGAAGAACTTCATCAGGTGATTACTGTTTTGCTTTTCTTTATTGAGTAATTGGCACATGAAACATTATATATTCGGATTATTTTATTGAGTTATTCCACAATGTGTTACAGATGTTTCCCTTGACATGCATGTTGATATGTATTTATGCATTTTCAGAAGTCCATTATTTATAGAGGTGTTTCGGCAGACATTCTTATGCTCGATAGATTAGGACATCTGCAGCTGGTAGATTTTAGGTTTGCAAAGAAGTTGGAAGGTCAAAGGACCTACACAATATGTGGGATTGCTGACTCTCTGGCACCAGAGATTGTTCTTGGTAGGGGCCATGGATTTGCTGCTGACTGGTAAGTGGTTATTGACCCCTTTCGTTTATAAGCATTCCATATCACTGTATCACGTATTTGTCTGAGATCTTATTAAAGACAAAAGTTATGGTTACCACTGATCTTTCTAATGTGGCTCTAGGAATTTCAAAGCAGCGTGCAATATTTCCTACCAGTTTCGTATGCAAACGATGAAAATGCCATTTTTCCTTGTGACCTCTGTATATGGAACAAATTTTTTTTTTTGAAAGGATATGTGAAACAATACTGTCTATGCAAAGCATTTTTTACAGATGCGCAAACATTGAAAATACTGTTTGTTCTACAGATATTGTCATTTCTTTTACAAGTTACATGTCCAAATCTTGGCATATTTCATCTACCTGACATTCTCAGAACAGACTCAAACATGCAAACTGCAGTAGAAACCTTCTCAACAAAAATAAATGGAGAGGTATCCACTCCAAAAACAAAAAAAAAAGAAACATAATTTGAGCTGACAGAGTGACAGTACAATACTTGAGTTTTCTTTTTCGGACATGGAAGACATGAGTGGAAATTATGACAGGTCCCTTTGATTTTGTATGATCAGGTGGGCACTTGGAGTTTTGATCTATTTCATGCTTCAGTCAGAAATGCCATTCGGGTCCTGGAGGGAGAGCGAGCTGGAACCTATTACAAAAATTGCCAAAGGTCACCTTGTTATGCCAGTGTCATTCAGTGCTGAAGTTGTTGACCTTATAACCAAGGTAATATCCTATCTGAAAATTGCAATTCACCTATCCATTTAATTTCAGCTTATTCGGACATCTTACAGCAGCTCTACTTATTTTCATTTATACTATGTTAACAGCTACTTGTGGTAGACGAAAACACGCGCCTTGGAACCAGTGGTGTTGAAGCTGTAAAGAAACACCCCTGGTTTGATGGCATTGATTGGGAGCGAATAGCATCTGGGACTTGTGCAGTACCTGAAGAAATCACTGAGCGTGTCAACAGCTGTATAGAAACTCTTAATGAGGACTTATCAGCATCTCATTCTGTGCCGATCAAAGACCCAGATGATCTTACTGCTCCAGAGTGGATCCAGGATTGGTGATCTCAATAGTTGCATGATTGTCCAAAGATGAATTGTTCTAGTGGAGGAAAACATCTTCAGTTTTCACCAAGCATTCGCATATCAAATGAAAGAAGGTATACATATGGGTTGATCGAACTGACAAGTTGTACATACCAAAGATTCCTTCTGTGATCATAGATCAGCTTTCAAACATCTAATCAGAATTTGAGATATGCCAAAATGTTGCTAAATAGGTGCTCTGTCAGTGGAGCAACAGTGACTTTCGTCTATGTTTTGCCGAGTTCGGCTTGTTCTGTTGCGATGAACTTGCGAATTGTGATGTGTGGATCAAGATATTTTCAAAGCTCAAGAAGTTGTATATTCCCTTAGTTCCTGGTAAGAAGGATCTTCTGTAATTATCCAATTTGTGCACTGAAGGATTACTCCTTTGCTGTTTCGAAAATGGATGTTGGTCGGGAGGAAGGTCAGAATTATCGTGGTGAATACAGACATTTCTTTCATCTGTCACTGTCAGTCGATTTGTACTTTATCAAGTTTTCCAAATATAATTTTGAAGGTTACGAAAAACAAGAACTCGTTATCTCATATACGCGGTGCAAATAACCTGCGACGCGACATATGTGTGGAAATCCATGTCCAAATCAATGGAGTCCAAAGAACATCTAAATATTATAGAAGTTCATGTCCGGTCTAGTACGACTTAAGCCATAGAAAATCCAATTCGATTTGATCCATTCACTCTGTTAAAATGTGATATCTCTAGTTATACGTAGTAGATCTCGGATCTTTAAAAGGATATATATACGCAGTAGTGTTATTATTTTTTAGCAAATTGACTAATCCAATCTGTAGTAAGGGTGACAAATGGGTGAACTCGGAGGTTAATAGGATTGCAAATTTGCTCCAACTTATCAATTTAGCTTATCAGCTATGGTACAGTGTTTCTCTTTCATAATAAATCAACGAACAGTACTTTTCGGCTTGTTTTTCAGCGAAACCAACAGGACTATGCCACATTGTACTAGAAGCATACCTCATCATGCTGTTGCGTGACTTTCTTAAAAATAAATTATTGTATGTATGAATTAGAACTTCATATTTTTGTATCCATTCTTATTAAAACTAAATATGACAATAATGAATTCAATAAAAAATTGGACCTACTAGCGCCCGAACGTCCGATCCGGAACGCTAGTGTTCGAACGCCCGGGGCTACTAGCCTGATGCGGCTAATGTCCACACTGCGATGCTTGCTCGCTTGTCCGTTGCTGCGCTAAGATGCCCGTGGCTACTAGCCTGATATGCCTGCCCGCACTGCGCTGCTCGCTCGCCTGGCTGCCCGCCTGCTTGTTCACTCGCGTCTGCTGTTGTGCGCCCGCGCCTCTCCGTAGGGACCGCTCGCGCCCACCTCGCTTCTCGTGCACGCGTGGGGACCACCTGTGGCCACGGGACCGCCTCCGACGCTGCCTCCGCCCGCTTTCCGAGCCTGCTCATGAAACACTTGCAACATGAAGAATTTGCTGTAACGTACGTCTGAAACAGATGAAACATTTTGAACATATGCTTGCAACATATGTAACATCTAGGCAGAGCGGGCCGCAAAGCAGGAGTAGCGGAACGGCGCGGCGCAACAGGAGAAGGAGCAGGCGGGGTGACCATCGATGTTGGAGCTGGCCGCGGAGGAGGAGCAGCGAAGCGGGGTGACCGTCGACGACGAAGCAGAGCGGAGTAGGTCTCTCGTCTTCTTTTCCTTTCCTTATCCAACCGGCGCAATAGAAGGGACGCACGCGGACACTATAATAAAAAAATGAGCGGGCACATTGCAGAGGTCTATTGGCTGGTCACATATGTACGAAGGGGCATCCGTACGGACGGACACCCTGCACCTAGCATTTAAAAGAATTAGATCAATTTATAAGATGATGAATGACAAAACAAACAACAATATATGCATGCCTTGTAATTTTTTATATATTAATTAAAAATAGTAACTGTACTGATGTGGATGGCTAATTATAGGTTGAAAGTTAATGCCCTGATGTGGTACGAGCGGAAGATGATGTGTATAGTTAGTGAAAAATAATATAGATGGGCAGATGGCTTACCTGTTGAGACAAAAATTACAGTGATTGAATTTAAAAGTATACGATAATACTGGCACTAGGTTGGATTTGGGCCTAAACAGGCTTTCGTGGGACATCTTTGTCAGGGCCTCAGGGGCGAAACAAAAATTTCGCACGGCTTCCCAACGAGAGCGAGGTTCCCCTCCCGACTCCGAGATGGCGGCGCCGGCGGCGGACGAGGCATGGTGCCGGGAGACGGTTCCACGGGTGATGGAACTGGTAAGTCCACGCCTTCTGCAGCGGGATGCATGCGCACTGCTCGCGGTCAGCCCCTGGTGCTACCGTGCCCTCGTCGCCAACTCCAGGCTCTGGGAGGTGCGCATCGCCTGACAATCCCAAACTTCCGGTTTACCTGGTTTAGATTGCAATCGTTGCTCTGAATGTTTAAGCCCTCTCTCTCCTTAGCTTTGGCCAAAGTTAGACCAACCTCATCATTTCCATTAAGAAAAAAACGGAAATTCAGAAACATTTAGGTTTAGAGACTGAAAACAGAAGCAAACCATACAGACTATCCCTGAGCAGCTAGAAATCTGCCTCAGACAATTAGCTACACAAGAAGAAAATCTGCAACAAGAGAGAAAAGTTTGCTTGACCGACCGCTGCACCTGAGCAACAAAGCACCCAACTACATTACCTGACTTGCTTGACTTGACTCCATCAATAGCCTCGTAGCAATGCCCAACATCGTGTCCACACCTTCAATCATCAGCTTGCGTACTTCTTCAGGATACAAACCTGTCCAACAGCGGATTAGGGGCAAGCATGACAAATGATCTCAGAGGGATGCTTCATCAGTTTATTCTCAAAGCATGCTCTGTTTCTTGTTTTCTAAATCGTCCAACAGATTGCCATCCTCTTTGGGGGTGTGGAACTGGGCGATGTTGTGTGTTTTGTCACCACCTGCTGTTGTGGTTTTTTTTTTCTCGAACACATAGGTGTAGTTTGTCTGATTGCTGTATGACGCGAGTCTCACGTTTCCGCCGAACAATGGTGATGGCAGGCATTTTTCCTGTTATGTTGCATGCATGAGTTTGTGATATTGGGCTCTAATATCTTGGCCTAATTAGTTTTTAAGCTGGAACTCTTGTTATTATGTTATGTTATAATTCAGCAGCCACGGGGACTTCATGTTTTTTTTGGCCTGCTGGAGTCAGAATTCAACTTTTCAACTTGTGGAGTTAACACTAACCTCTAACCAGGTTCAGTACTTTATAATAACACAAGTAGCTGCTAATTCAATGCTACTTGCTCATCATCCAACTGACTTGATGCATTAGTATGACCACTTTTAATGTGATGCTTGCTGCCTAATATTGATTTGTTCTATGTATGCATTTACTGTTAGTCGTTGAACTCTCATTCTTGGTAGTAGCAGAATTCTTACTCTCATCGAGAGAGGATGACACTAGGAGTTGGGACAATTTTCTGGTTTTATTTCTCACACAAACTCACACAAATGCCATGCCAACCTGAGGGGTTGGGGATACATATTTATAGGCTGCTAGCCGGCAAGCATATGCCAAGATGCTAGTCTAAGATGCTAATATGCTGTCCTCTAAGATGCTGTCCTAAGATGCCGTCCTAGAGTCTAAGATGCTAGTCCTATATGCTGTCCTAGATGCTGTCCTTCAGCCAAGGATGTTGTCCTTGATAACCACCATGCAGCAGCCCCACAAAGACCAGCCCCACAAAGACTTATCCATCATTCTCCCCCTAAGTCTTGTGCGTCGTCTTGTGGGAGAGTTGAACCATCCCGATCCTCGAGCAGAGCTCAAGGAACTTGATCTTCCCAAGGGGCTTGGTGAGCGTGTCCCAAGCTGGTCCTTGGTGTTGATGTAGCTTCGCCACGATGCTCCCTTCCTCCAAATGACCTCGGATGAAGTGGTACCTCACCCGGATGTGCTTGCTGCGTTCATGGAAGACGGGGTTCTTTGCAGGGGCAGGCGGACTTGTTTGTCCACCCTAAGCTCCACCGCCCTAGTGTCTCTCGCCGAGGAGATCACCAAGCGATCGAAGCGAGCAGGCGTGCCTCGAGTCGAAGCGGTGGAGGCCGCTATATGTACTCGGCCTTGCGGTGGGCGACAGGCCACCACACTGCCGCTTGACCGATCGCCGCCTAACGAGGCACTTGCCGAGGAAGATCCTTCGTGCTCTTTTTGCCGGTGTCGATGTCGCGGCGTGGTCATTGTCGCATGCACGATGAAGTGTGCGCCCTGGGCACCTAGGGTAGTAGAGGCCGTGGTCGAGAGTCCCCGCAACGTAGCGGATGATCCTCTTCACGACTGCTTGGGTGCTCCGTTGTCGGTCATTTGCTGAACCGACTAACGTGGCCGACCGGAGAATGCCAAGTCGCCGCAGTGTGGGCAAGGTAGCGAAGGCTCCCCACAAGACGCCGCAGATCTGCGAAGCGTCCACCTCCTCCGTCGTGTTGTCGCTGCTCGACCACCTCTCCTCCATCGAGTGAGAGAGAGCTGGGTTGCGATCGGTGAGCCCGGCTAGCTCAACGACGCGCTTGGCGGGCGGTGCGTCAAGCGTGATCCGAGTCATCTGGTGCACCTCGATCCCCGTGTAGAAGGAGAGAGGTCCTGGTCACTCATCCGGAAGGTGGCCTTCATCTCTTCCTTGAATGCCGCCACCTCCGCATCCTTGGTGCCGGTGATCACCAAGTCGTCGACGAGACACCCACCAGTGAGCATTTCCTCCACCGCCCCGTCGGTAGATGGTCGCCTCGTCGCGGGCTTTGCTCGAAGCCCATCCCTTTAGCGTGAAATCCGACTTGGCATTCCACGCCCTCGGTGCCGCCGCAAGCCCAGAGGGCCTTGCGCGAAAGTGAGCACCTTGCCCCTCCTTGTGGGGATCGCAAACCCCCGGCGGCTGGTGCACGTAGACCTCCTT